GGAAACGGGGGGGGGGGGTGTACTCATAGTCGAGCATGCCGTAGTCGTTAACCATTGACCTCGCATCCCTACTAAGCCGGGACGGAGCACGCCGGGTTCTCACCGGACCAGGCTCTTGGGAAACGGGGGGGGGGGGGGTTCAGTGGAATCGAAGAATATTGGTGTTTGATGCACAGCAGTAGTAGGGGGCTCGCTTATAGTGCCCGCCGAGGCTACCGGCTCTATAACGGGTACCCGCCCGGCACTACTCAGAGCATGAAGACAACGCCAAGATTCCATCAGTGTCACGCGATTTCACTGGTGGTACTATACCGGGAAAGTGGCACGACTCAACCGGCGCTATGGCGAGCCCCCCGCTGCTGATCGATATCTCTCATGACTTGTTTGGTTGTGCGCGTGTGTGTATTTGTGTGTGTTTTCCAGTCTGGTTGTATTGAGATCTGATGACTTTTTTTTACCTTTTTTCTTGGGTGTGCGCGTTTTTCAATCGGATTTTGTATTGAGATCTCGTTGCTTCTTCGCCATTTTGATTGTGTGTTGTCAATCTATTGAGTTTTATCGACATCTCATGGCTTGTTCGCCTCTGCCTTTTTTTTGGTGCGCGGGTGTGTTTTCAGGTGGCGGCCGCGTCGGTGCGGAACGGCAAGGGATGCGGCACGCTGCCCCCGGGTTCGGTTCCTGGGAGAGGGCAACCGATGACGAAAACGATCACCGCCCTCCGTCGCAGGCCACGGACGACAGTCTTGAAGGAGGAGATGAGAGCGAGGCTGATGATTTCGGCGTTGCCGCAGCCGTGCTGGTGCAAGACCTCGCCGCTAAGGAGAGGGCAATGGGCGAGGACGAGAGCGGCAACGATGGCAGCAGCTTGAGGAGGGCTTCTTCCGGGGTCTCTTCGTCGAGCAGCAGCAGCAGCAGCAGCAGCAACTCCGACTTCTCCTCGGCGTACCCTGTCAACTCCTCCGCGGGCGGCGATCTGGGGGGGGGTGCGATGGACACGCCCAGGCGGGAGGCCGCCGCCGTGAGGCTGCAGGCCACCGTCGCTGCGACCGTGGCGGAAGTGGCGGCGGAGACTTACGATGGCGGCTCCCTGCGGAGCGGGTTTTTCAACTCTTTGGACGACGATGACGACGACGATCAGAGCAGTCATATCGGGGGCTTGCCGATGTCGGGGTCAAGATCCCCCCGGGAGGCCGCTGTGATCCCGAGGTCTGGTCGCCGGGAGCCCGACACCGACACCGAAAGCCATCGCCACGGAAACCCTCCGACTCCCCCGGCGGGTAGCACGAGCAGCGAAGGGTTTTTTGCCGGGGGGTTGCCGCTGGCAGGGTCTAGGTCTCCGCCGCCCCTCGCCGCCGGCCGAGGCGCTCCCGGTCGCCGGGACCCCTCCTCCTCCGACGCGGACTCCTCCGGCGTGCCGTCGTCGTTGCTGCCGCTGTCCGCTGGCAACAGATCGTCGCCCAGGCCGGGGGGAGGGCGGCTGAGGCGGCGGCAGCGACGGCAGCCCGAGGAGCAGGGGCCGGTTCCCGCACCTGCTGGTGTGATCGGTACTACGGCGGGTACGAACGGCGACGGTTCGTCGAGCGGTCCCCTGGAGGCGTTATCTTCCTCCCCCCGTGCGCCACGCCCGGCCGGCGGCGGCGGCGAAGGAGGAAGGCGCCAGCGGGACGAGGCAGCAGAAGACACGCTATCGCGCAACCGGTCCTCGGAGGTGTCCTGGTGGGAGCACGAGAACTCTACCGGCGACGAGGGAGGGTCGGGCGGCGGTGGGAGGCGGGAGGGTGCGGCGGCGGGGGTCGGCAGGGGACGGGAGCCGCTCCGGAACAGGCAGCAGCGGCGCCAGGTACCCCGCCGCCGACAGCCCAAGGCTGCGGCAGCCGCGGTTGTCCCCGCCAGGAATAACGCCTCCTCCTCCTCCCGCCGGGGCGGCGCCAAGAATATGAAGCAGAGGCCGCCGGTGTGGCGAACCGTGTCCGGGGGTCGGTGGGCCGGGGGGACGCAGACGGTTGTTGCGGCGGCGGCGGCGGCGGCGGCGGCGGCTCCTCCAGCGAAGGCGGCGGAGGAGGAAGCCCCGGTGGTGCCCGGCTTGCGAGCCACTCACTTCGCGCCCGGGTTCGTAGGCGTCGCCTGGCCGGACCCTTTCGAGGAGCCGGCGGCCGTGCGGCAGCTGAACGCCGCGCGGGAGCGGGTACTGACGAAGATCGAGGAGGCTTCGGCGCGCAAGATTGCGGAGGTCGAGGAGAGGGCTCGGCGAGCCAGGCGCGAGAGGGCGGAGAAGCAAAAGCGCAGGTGTGTTGACGTGGTTTGGTGGGGGCTGTTCACACTTCGGGAGCGGTGGGCAACGGGCGAATCTTGATGGGCTGTAACGTAGGTTGCATACGTAAGATCTCGCACCCCCTGGACCGATTTTCAGAGCTAGAGTAATTTGCAGCAAGGAGAGTGATGGTGCCGAAAATTGTGGCGTTGGAATTGCTGCCTCGTCGAGATCTTTCCGAGCACGCATCATTTGAGTTGGCATACTCTTTCGTCGTGGAGTATTGGAGCTTAATACATAGGTCCAGGGGATGCGGTATCTATTGTAGCCCAGGGTATTTGTCTGTGCGTTGCACGCTGCTCGTAGTACGGGCCGGCTGCACATTTTGCACCGATTGATGTTTTTGCGGTGTACCGAAGGCACGATGTTTGTCTTTCGCGTCTGTGATAGAGCCAAGGCCCACGGCGACGCTATTGTATGACCTCACAGCATCACAATGTAGAGCCTGTGATTTGGAGGAAGCAGAGCATTTCGCTGAAACGCGATACATTCCATGCCACACCGTAACGCCGACAGACGTTGTAGGCCCGTGCGCACGTGCGCCCATGTTGAGCCGATCGTTCAAGGGTATGCTGTGAAGCTCATGGCGTTGCGTTGTTTTGTGTTCCTTATTTTGATCAAGTCTAGGCTCGCCTCGCACCCCCTTTTCTCACAGAAACACCATGCTGGAGAAGAAAGTCCGGGGAGAGATCAAGGACGCCATGGAAGAACAGGAGCGGCGGCTACGGCGGCAGCTCGAGGCCGCGCAACGGCGACAAGCCGCTGCCGCTGCCGCTGCCGCTGCCGCCGCTGCCGCTGCCGCCAGGTCTCCCCCCGCCGCCGGAGGAACAGCAACAACGGGGGCCGCAACGATAGGCGCAGCCGCTCGGGAGCGTGCCGAGGCTGTCCGGAGAAGGCGGGCCATGCTAGAGGCCGACGAGGCTCGAGCCAAGATCTACGCCTTCAAGCGGCGAGGGGAGCTCCGGACGCAGGCCTTGCTGCGCGGGTGCGCCCGCGGCGGGGCGGCGAGCGAGGAAGATATCGCGGCAGCTGCGGAGGCGTTTGAGGCGGCGGCGGGGGTGGGGGCGGGGGCGGGAGTTAAGGTCGCGAAGGGGGCGGTGATAGCCGGCGGTACCCCTAGGCCGAGGTTTGAGTCGTGGAACGAGCTGGTAAGCTTCTTTCGGCCTAAGCTTCGTTTGGCCTTTACTGCCAGTTTTTTTAACCACTCCCTTCTGCTGCCGCGCTTTGCCCCCTCGGTGTATGCCATCGGGATTGGGTTTTCGTCGCTTGGCAACGACGTTGTAAAACAAGACAATTCACTTCGTGAACTTGGCAACCAGGTTACTGCTGTTTGTTTTTTTACCTCTGTTTTCTTTTTTTGCGGTAACCATAATTGTGGTCGAGTAGATCATGTTGTGCGGAGTCGAGAACCCTCACTCCGGGCAAAGGGGATGATCGCACCACGTTGTGTTAAAATGGCCAAGCTTCCTCGAGGCAGTTACACAGTGCTTGTAACTGTCTCTGGAGGTGAAAGTACCAGAAAATAAATTAAGTCATACGCAGCTGTCATACGTACGCAAGCAAGTAAGCACAAGATGCCGAACACCCTTAGCAGGATGCAGCGCACCCTTCATGCGACTCGCCGAATACCTCACGGCGCTTCGCGCTTGGTGATGTGAGAGCCTGGTCCGGTGAGAACTCGGCGTGCTCCGTCCCGGCTTTGTAGGGATGCGAGGTCAATGGTCTAACGACTACGGCATGCACGACTATGAGTACACCCCCCCCGCCCCCCTCCTTCTGCCACCGCGTGGTGTGGGATGTGGATTGTTTCGCGACCCACAAAGTAGGGTAGTTTGTTACCGTGCATGTGTTCCCCGCAACTACAAGCTGGTTCAAGGAAATGGGTACAAGAGTATTATATTAACATGAAAACCTCACGCCGTTTTTAGGAGTTAGATTGGGTTCGTTTCCGTGAACCAGCTTGCATAGTGCGTCCCCAAAACTGAAAATACAATAATAATGAAAGCAAACAACACCCCGAACCCAGTATATATAGATGTATTTTATGGCTCTTCACTCTCGATTGGCGGTTGAAAATGTATCGCACATCGTTCCTCTTCTCTCGATTTCCTCATCGGCTGAAAACGTAACGCAAGTCACTTTTTTTGCTGCTGCTTGCTGCTGCCGTGCCCCCGTCCAACAACCACAAACACCTCGCTTGGGGCGGTCTCTCTCTCTCTCCTCTCTCTCTCTCTCTCTCTCTCTCTCTCTCTCTCTCTCTCTCTCTCTCTCTCTCTCTCTCTTCCTCTCAGCGCCGATCCAAGGCCGAAGAGATACGCCTCCAGGGAACCATGGAAAAGGCTTTCAAGGCCCTGCACGGCGTCGCCGCTCGTCGCCGGGAGAACGCCGTGTACGCCCGGCGCGACCGCGCCCGCGAGAGCAACGCCCGGGCGGAGGAAGGTCACGGGCGCGCTCGCAAGCGCCTCCGCATGCAGGCGGAGACGGCGGCGGCGAGGGCGGAGGCTCGCGCGAAGGAGGCGGCGGAGGCCGCTGCCGCGGAGGCGGAGGCCCGGGACAGTGCTCGGCGTGAGCGGGATAGGGAGGCCAAGAGGGAGAAGCTGGCGAAGCAGCGGCGGCGGCGGCAGCAGAAAATGCAGCAGCGGCAGCAGAGAAAGCAACAGCAGCAGCAGCAGCAGCAGCAGCAGCGCTCGAGACTCGGACAGCGAGGTTTGAGGTCGGGGGGAGAGGAGCCGCGGCAGGGGGGCTCTAGGAGAGCGAGCCCCGGGTATCCGTCTCTTGTGGAGATCTTGGGGGAGGCGAGAGAGGTCGTGGATAACAACGGCGAGGATAGCAGCGACGCGGCAAGCAGTGAAGGAGCCGAGCAACCGCTTGGCGTGCGCGTCGAGGTGCGGGTGCCCAACGTTAACGGCACAGAAGCACCGCCTCCTCCGGGTGACAGGGCCCGCCGGACGGCGACCGCCGCGCGGCGAGAGTCGGCGTGGGCACAGGAGGAGGAGGAGGACAGAGCAGTAGCGCGGCGGCTCGAACACCTCGACAGGGTGGCGGCGAGGCTGGAGGAGGCCGGGGCGGAGATCGAGGCCAACATCGACCTCCTCGGCCTGGAGCACGGCCGCGCGCCCCGCCGCTCGGCAGCAGCAGCGAGCTACGGTGGTGGCAACGGGGGCCCTCCAGACATCGTCTACCACGACGCCCGGTGGGGCTCTACGGGTCGAGAAGAAGAAGAAGACCACAGCATCAGCCGCTTCGTCAACGGCGGGTGGCGGCGGCGGGCACGAAAGAGGAGAGACGGCGGCGGCAATAGAGTCGGTTCCCCGGTGGCGTTACAGCGCCCCGCCCGCGGCCGGCCGAAGGCGCGCGGAGGAGGAGGAGGAGGAGGAGGGGTCGTCTCCCGCCGCCTTTCCGCGCCGACGGTGAGCAGCAGCAACAAGGCCGTGGCGTCGTCGAGCGGCGGAGGAGGAGGAGGAGGAGGAGCAGCCAACCGCAGCCGCGGAAGCACCGGTTTCTCGAGGTCCCCGGCCAGGAGACAAACGAGGCCAGCCCGTAGCGGCGGGGGAAAGGCGGCGAGAGCCAACGACGACGATGATTTGTTGTCCGGGTTCTACTCCGACGGCCTACGGGAGTCGGCGACCGGAGGCCCGCCGGGGGGGGGGTCTGAGGCACAGGCGGCGAGGGGCAAGGGAGGAGGCGGCCGCCGCCACGGCCTTGAGCCACGCGCTGATGACCTTCCTGCCGCGGCGGCGGCGGCGGAGGAGGAGGAGGAGGAACCTGGGCGGCGACCACGAGGTCTGGGCCGGGGACTCTCGTCTAGGAGGGGCGACGATTATCGCGACAGTGGCGGTGACAGCTACGGTTACGTTGAAGACAGGGAGAGAGAGGAGGTGGTGGCCGCGCGGTCCGGTGGGAGACGGGGGGCCGAAAGAACGGAAGAAGCAACGCGAACCAGGTATGTCTTTTACATATGCACCAAGGGTATTTTGTTTTTGGCTGCGTACATGATGTACGAGACTCGTGCGTTATTTTCGGATGTGACGGCGATTGCCCATACTGTATATACCAGCTTCTTTTGGTTGGCCCGAAGAGCGGATCGGCACCTGGTCCCAATCTTAGTTCCCTCTCTGGCGGCTCTTCGATTCATCGTCGGAGGTAGTCGGGGCCCCGCGTGCAAGCCCCTCTTTCGCTTGCCTCGGCCTTTTGTGACGGCTTGCTCCGCTTCGCCCACGTGCCCCGGTGCCCCCAATCTGGGCCGGCGAAAAAACGGGCACATCGTTCCGCCCCGGCATCATAGTATAGGGATGCGAGGTCAACGGCCTGACGACTACAACGTGCGCTTACATTAGTACACCCTCCCTCCCCCCCCCCCCCTGTCGCTCAAGCCTGATCCGGTGAGAACCCGGCGTGCTCCGTCCCGGCTTTGTAGGGATGCGAGGTCAATGGTCAAACGACTACGGCATGCACGACTATGAGTACCCCCCCCCCCCCCCCCCCTGTCGCTCGACCTGGTTGGTCAACTTCTCCGCTTCGTCCACTCCCCCAATCGTTGCTTACTCCATGACACGCTCGTCGTTCCGCAGAACAAGAAGGAGGGGCCGCGTCCGGTCTGAATCTGGCTGTTCTTCCTCCTCCGATGGCGGCCATGACAACAGCAGTGGGGCCGGTTTGCTCGGGGAGATCGCTAGGAGCAGAGAGCGGCACCGCGAGGACCACAGGGAGGCGATGGAGTCGGTCTCGAGCGACGCGCTGCGGATGCGCGCGATCAAGGGACGACCTCTCCGAGGTGCTGCGGCGGCTGAGGGAAGGGGACGCTCAATCGGCGGAGGCGGCGGCGGCGGCGGCGGCGGCGGGACAACCGCCACCGGCGAGTGTGGCCCAACGGGAGGATAAGGGCGAGGAAGAGCTGGACGCGGCGTTTCAGATCCGGCCAAGGGAACGGCAGCAGAAGAAGCCGGAGCAGAGGCCGGATCTGACCGCCGCTTCCGCCGCCGCCGCCGATCGGGGGCCCCGCGCTTCGTCTCGGCACCAGGTACCCGGTAGATCGTCGGGGGCGTCGGCAGCGGCGGCTGGAACGACGGACGCCGCCTCCATGTCCCTGCAGGTGTCGGCCCTGGACGATCTTGAGGCTCGCATCGCTTCCCTGGGCGGGCTGCTGAACTCTTTCTCTACGGAGGAGGACGGGGACGGTTCGCGGCAGCAGCAGCAGCGGCAGCGGCGGCGTGAGCACCGACCGGACGGTGTGTTTTCGTCTCCCGGTGGTACGGAGGAGGAGGAGGAGGAGCCGGGAGGGTTGCTCCCGCCGTCGCCGCCGCGGGGGCGGGAGCGGGGGCGGGAGCGGGGGCGGGAGCGGGAGCGGGAGCGGGAGCGGGAGCGGGAGCGGCCACGATCGACGAGCCCGGTGCCGTTGACGCTGATGCGTGTTCGATCCCCGTGCTCGTCGTCGTCATCGTCGTCTCCACGGTATAGCGTTGGCGGCAGTCGGGAAGACGGCGGCAGCACCGGCGGCGGCGGCGGCAGCGGCGGTTTCTCGACCTCTGGGCCGTCGTCTCTTCTCGTGAGCTCTTCGTCGGGAGGAAGTTCCGGGGCCACTGCTGGTGCTGCTGCTGCTGCCGGCCGTAGCAGCAGCATCGCGGACGAGACCGCCGGATTGTCTAGCGCTGCCAACGACCTCGCCAGGGAGGTCGACGAGCTCCTGCGGGCGAGCGGTAGCGGGGCGCGTGGAGACAGCAGCGGTGCTAGCGGCATGGCAACGGGCGACGCCTCCGGCCTTTGGAGAACCCGCGGCACCGGCCGCCCGTTGGGCACCGCTATGGCGGAAGGCGAAGGGTTGGAAGAAAAGGCAGAAGCCAGCTCTTTGGGGTGGGGAGACCTGGAGGGGATGGCAGATAGGCTTGGGGCACTTGCTGCTGGCGGGAACAGCAGGGGGTCTACTGGTACAGGCGGGGGGGGGGCGGCGACCGGGGGCGGGTCGGGGTACAGCAGCGGTCGGGAGCTGGGTTCGATTGCCAGCCGCGGATAGTTTTGTTTTTTTAAACATATTTCGAGGCGATTTCGCGTCCGTTCATTTTGTACGTAAAAAGGGAAAACCATGTGTGCGCTTAAACCGAGGTTTGACTGCCGTGGTTGATGAAGGGCGCACAAGGGCGTTGTTCCATTTGCTTATGTTTTTCTGTGAGTATTTTTTCGGGGCCATTGGTTGAGGGCACGGACGGTTTTCAAGAGTCAGCCCTGGGTGCTGAGGGGAGGAGGGTGGGAGGGAGGGAGAGGTCTAACAGTCAAGCCTGTAAGCTGTTCGTAATGAACCCGCCACCACGCCACTTTTGGGTACTAACTTTAGGAGTGTTTGATCCCTTGTTCGTTTGTTTACCCCGTTTACTCGAGGTACCTAGGTTTACAATCACCTCCTCGGCAGGTTTAGGGCGTACTAGCCGCCGAGGTTGAACGGAGAATTTCCTCTGCGAGCCTCTCCATTCCGATACTAAGTATTTTACTTGACCCGATTGGATATAGTGTGGGCAGACAGGGTTGGAAGGTTGTGTTGTAGGGGGTCAAAGTAAAGAGGTCAATGTGTAGACTGTAGCCTTGAGCGATGTTCGGTCGATGTATGCATGCGTCTTGGCTAGCATGCTCTGTTGTTAAACCAACTCGTCGTACGTGACCCTTGTGAGGTGATAAGATAAGACCTGTGACTTACGCAACGCGTCGAGTTTCCCCTCCAAGAGAGATGGAGAATCGAGAACCACGGTGTCCTTACTTTTTTTGTGATTTCAACCGGTTTGATGTCGTATTGGGTAAACCCCAATCATTCGGTCCAGCCATGATTACCACTTTGAGAGATAAATAACGACATGTGGGGCCCGCAGCTCTTTTTGGTGGTCAAATCTGTTGAAAAGGGGCCTACTCCCATTTATTTGATGGCGAACCCCCCAGATCGACCCGTAGATATTATGTCGTTGAGTAAAATACGTGGAATTAATTTCCCCGACCCTGTTTTGTGTGCGCCGGGGTCTTTTTCACGGCGTGTTTTCTTACAAGTCGTGAGACAAAGCAATCTCGTGTCTGTCTGCCTGACACTGGTCTTGGGTACTGTAGGTGCCAAGCATTGGCGATACGGTTGCCGCAGCGGCAGCACAAAACTACGGGTTCAATGTTTGCTCGGGGAGGGTTAACGCGAGAGCAAATATATTTCGCGCGAAAACCTCCGTGTCCCCGTGAATCTTTTTTTTTTTTTATCAACCGCGCTACTGCTGTACCGTTAAGACTGTTTGTGTTTCAATGTTTCCGTTACGGGAGTTGGCCCGAGGAGCTACTCGTATTTGTGGTACTGGGTATCGGCATTTCAACGTGTGTGTGAAACAGGAGCTAGCTCATCAATCACGTGGCCAGTGCAGTTTTTGTTTGTGAGTGTGCGACCAACGGCACGCGGTCACCTTTTATGGAGGACGGCATGCGCCGTTTTGCGACGAACATCACAGCGACGGTGATTCGGGAATGTAGCAGTGATGCACAAGGTGTTGTCTAGTGTGCTGATGCGCCAATGGCGCTTTTCCTCTCAGTAGCACATCCGATCCGTCTGGCAAGTGTCCCATCAAGGCAGAGACGAGTTATATGTTTTCTTTCGGCAAAGAAGACTTTCAGCACATCCGCTTCGAATGTGGTACTCTCTCGAACGCATGGTCTTTCAGTGATTGTACGCATTTTTCGTACCCAAGGAAAGTAGAAAATCACTGGAAACACTTGAAACCGTGTTGACTCGTTCGCGAGCGGAGTCTTCCGTCGTGTTCGTTAGTCCGAGAGCGATTGTCTAGCAGATAAGGACACGATGGAATCTAATCTACGTTTAGAAGTAGTGCACGCCAGCCTGCCTCACCCGGTGTGTACCGCCGTACAAGGGGCTCATGGCGACACGTGAATGGCACGGCAACGTTCTTGTCATTCTGGCAATCAAAGCGAGAAACCTGTGGTCAGTGTGGTATGATTTTTCTTGACACTCGCACATGCTTGGTGTTTCTCTTGGACCGGTGTTTTTTTCACAAGCTTCCTTCATCTCGGATTTTTGTACCCAGGTCCCGGCCGATCTCAAGGCAATCTGTCCTACCCGGGCAATGACCCCCGATCTTGATTATTCTTGATATTTTCACCCCTCAATTAATACACGCCTAATGTGAGCTACAACAATTGGAGATTTTTCTCTCTTCACAGACGAAAACGCCTACTACACGGATGGCATCACGAAAAACAGATCAAAACCAATCTACAAGTACCAGTCTTGTGATAAATATATATGAAAATCGCAGCTAACCCCTAAAACCCTAACTAATTCCTTAAAAACTCCGGCGCATACTCGATTTAGGGCGATGCTTCAACTGCGCTCAAGTCCGAATAAAAACAACAGAGAACTAAACCAGCCCAAGCGTCCTGCCAAAAACTGCTAAAATAGCGATGCGATTTCGCATGAACGCGGCCTGATAAACACACATCAAACGTTGCTTACACGCCCCCCTTCCACTCGCCTCCCTCGGCCTTTTCCCCCGAGCTCCATATTACGATAACTCAAGTACAATAGAAAATACAAATAAAAAAAAACAAACTCCATCGATATCACGATAAATCAAATACAGAAAAATAAAATTTACAGAAGAAAAAAAAAGGAGCCATCAAAACCTCGACGATATTCTCCCTATCCTAGCTCGGGCCATCGCCACCGCCGCAAGGTGCATGTCGTCCCCTGCCGACACTACCCCCGGTCGCCGCACGCCTCCGCTAACGGCGACTGCGGCGCCAACTCCGGCCCCCGAAGCCGGCGGCACGGCGGCCGTCCTTTCCCCGGCAGGCGGCGGTGTCGCGACAAAGGCGCCGCCGCCCCCATAAATTCCCGCCGGCGCAGCGACTTCGCTGCTAGCGCTCCTCCGGTAACCCCTCCCTCGCCTGCCGGCCGTGCCCGTGCCGACACCCACGCCATCAAACTGATACCCACGACAGGCAGCAGCAGCAGCAGTATAAGGGTACCTGCTGATGTGCGGTGCCCCGGCGGCGCGGCCGTTCGGGAGTTCCGCAAGCGGCGTGTTTTGCGAATACTCCGCAGCCGCGGTTGCGGCGGCGGCGGCGGCGCCGGGGGAGGAGGCGTAGGCGTTCTCCTTGTTGTGCTTGTTGTTGACGCCGTGGTCGCGCCGCTGCTGCGGTGGCGGTGGCGGTGGCGGTGGTGGTGGCACGGGGGCTGCCCAGGTGCCGAGATCTCGCGCCGCCGCTATCGTCTCCATGAAGCCTGCGTAGGACTCCTGCCACAAAGTCGTGACGTAGCACAGACAGGGAGGGGTGTGTGTGGTTATTGCGTGTAGCAGACAACAAACTTTGAGGCGACCCGCGAATTAACGTGGGTAGATGTGAAGACCACGGCAATAACAACAACAACAGATGCAGGATTGCTCAATGGTCGATTACTGCGCAATGGTCGATTTATTTCCTCGAGTGAAGAGGTGGAGCCTTTTGCATCACCATAGCCATCATCGTTCCAAGCAAAAACATGGTGCGCGGTATCGCACGCGAGCCGTGGGCATCACAGCCGACCGGACCAACCTCGCAGATACGAGCGATGTGCACCAGCATCCAACCCGGACAACCATATTGCGTCCCCTTAACCGGCAACAAAAAACACCCGAAACAAAACACACCCACCAACTACCATGTGTGCGCGTTTGTGTTCGTCCCATCCATTCTGGCTATTATACAAGCCAATCGGCCTACCATATATCTGACGTGTCAGCCGGGGTCACACACAAGAGGGAAGGTTACACAGGAGCTTTTTTCTTTTCTGCCGGCGTGCAGGTGTTCACGACCCATACAGCGGCCGCCGCTACTCACCCTGGCCTTCCTCCCGGCAGCCATCACCGCCTCCGTCCTCGTAGAACGCAACTCCCCCCCGTTGTCGTCCCAGCCGCCTCTCGCCCGCCGCCGCCGCCCCTCACCGGCCGGCGAAGACGCGCGGTCCTCGTCGTCGTCGTGGCGGTTGTAGCGGTACCGATTGCGCGGCTGCTGCCTGCGCGGCGGCGGCGGCGGCGCCGCTCCCGCCGCCAACACGCACGGCGGGGCGGCGAAGGTCCCGCCCTCGTGCGAACCCATCGGGACGGTTTCGTCCAGGCAGGAGGACGAGCGAGGGGGCGAAACGACGGCGGTCGTGCCGACGGCATCATCATCATCATCATCATCATCATCTGCCGTTTTTACTGTACTTTTGGGGTCTCCGCGGCCGCCGCCACCGCCGCATTCACTCGCTCGCTCCCTGCTGACGGCGCTCTCGGCCTGCTCCCTGGCGACCACCCTCTCGCCGCTGTCGGCGTCGGTGCTACCGCTGCTGCTCCTGTGTGCGATAGGGGAGACGTGGCGAGAGGTCTCTCTGTGTAGGACCAACGACGCGTAGTCCAGCACGGCAGTGGTAGCGTCCGCGGCGTTAGGCGTCCGGAGGTCTGACTTATCGCCGCTCCTGCGAGGAAGGAACGGGCGAGGGAAAAGACAAGACACGCACCAAGGTGAGCAGAGGCGCACGTGGGGCGGGGGGTTAACACACAATCCCTTCGCCGCGGTGCTTTCGCGATAAAACGCATCACCTACATAGCAAGCCAGCACAACATAAAAATACCAAGAGACAGCGAGGGCAGAGGCAGACAGGGGCACGTGGGGCGGGGGGTTAACACACAATCCCTTCGCCACGGTGCTTACGCGACAAAACGCATCACCCAGCGAAGGCACAAACAAAACAAGCACTCTAGAATCACGCCTAATCAGTATGCTCACGTTGGCGAAGCGTAGCACTCTGGCTTTGCAATTTCCTCCCCTCGCCGGCTGCTATCGGAACCACCACTCCCCGGCGCAGCAGATCCTTCAGCATCAGCATCAGCATCAGCCCCCCTTCTTCTCCGTCGCAGCAGCATCGTCACGTCCTCTCCCGCCACCCCGCGACACTCCCTTTCCCGACGGGGTGTCTTCCGCTGCTCCCCCGCGGCGGCACCTCTTTCCGCCACCGCCTCCCTGTCACCAAGAGCGGACGAGCCGCTCGTCGTGGAGGGCGAAGCTTGCCGAACACGGCTCGCAGGAGACGGGGCTTGCTGTGAAGCTTGCCGAGCAAGGCTCGCAGGGGACGGAGCTTGCTGCTGCTGCTGCTGCTGCTGCTGCCGCTGCTGCCGCTCCTCGTTTTGTACGTCGAGGTGGTGGTGGGCCTGTCGGTGGTGCAGCCGCGGGGGCGACGGCCTCGCCTCGTGGCCGTTCGCCGCTCCAACCCCCGCCGCCGGCAGAGAAGACCCCCGGGGGAAACAGAAACAACAGCCGGGATGTCCACCACCGCCTGCGACGGTGCGCTTATCGCCCTCCTGCTCCTGCTCCTTCCGGCTCTCCCGCTGGGAGTTAAGGGCGGCCAGGGCCCGCTCCGAGCGGTACCGGAGCTTAGCCTCGCCCGTGGCTAGCTCGGCCTCCCGCCGCTCGATGTCCACCTCTCGCGACTTTAGGGTCCGCAGGCGGCGAAGATAGCTGTTGTTGTCGGACGAGCGAAAGGCAACAGGGGGTGACAGTGGTGAGTGTTGATTGGGAGGGGGGGGTGTACTCATAGTCGTGCATGCCGTAGTCGTTTGACCATTGACCTCGCATCCCTACAAAGCCGGGACGGAGCATGCCGGGTTCTCACCGGACCAGGCTCTCACATCACCAAGCGCGAAGCGCCGTGAGGTATTTGGCGAGTCGCATGAAGGGTGCGCTGCATCCTGCTGAGGGTGTTCGGCATCTTGTGCTTACTTCCTTGCGTACGGATGACAGCTACGTATGACTTAACTTATTTTCTGGTGCTTTCACTTCCAGAGACAGTTTAAGCACTGTGTAACTGCCTCGAGGAAGCTTGACCATTTTAACACAACGTGGTGCGATCATCCCCCGTTGCGCGGAGTGAGGGGGGGGGGTACCGCATAGCCGTGCATGCCGTAGTCGTTAGACCATTGACCTCGCAGGAGAGGGGGGGGCTTGTGTTAAGAGGTTGTTGCTGAGGAGGATCCGGATCCCAAGGTTTAAGGAGATTTGACTTTTTACCATGATCGGCATAGTCTAGATACCTCCGCGTTGTGTGCCGTTGAAGTACAAGGGGAGCCGTGCTTCATGAAAGGATCGTACGAGAGGGGGTTCTGCACGCATAGGGATGGGGAGAGGATCAAAGGTGGTTTGAGCCAATGCACGCATAGAACCCACGCCGCCTGTGACCCGACTGCTCTCTGCACAAACTTCATCATGGGCCACCACAAAAAAATGGACGCCCGATTACTCCGCGACGAAGAGGATGCCAAAACCGAACGATACACCACGATTTTTTGGAAAGCTCTCGATATGACGGTTACATCGCTGCCACCTTTGGGCACCGTCACTGCCTGCTTCTGCAGAGTAGTAATCGAGCTTTGAACACCGGTAGAAAGGGGGTATGGTATCTAACGCGACCTAAGGTGGTACCAGCATAAGGTAGCTGCCGCGAGGCAAGGCAAGGCAAGGCAAGGCAAGGCAAGTCAAGGCAAGACCTACCTTTGTTCGAGCTGGAACTCCTGTACGAGGAGGCGGTTTTCTCGGAGGGGGAGCTGCAGCCCCGGCACCTTGGCGAGGTCCTCCATCCGAGGCCGCTTGTGCCGCTGGTGTGTGTCATTGCATCGGTGTGATTGGTCGGCGGCAGGCGTTGAGACGAAGGGTTTTCGTTAGAGGCAACAGTAGTGATGATAGTGGTGGTGGTGTTGATACAATCACCAGGTCGTCGTGGTAGGGTTAGTGTTAGTGTTTGTGTTGGTGTTGGCCTTAGTACTAGTGTTTGGAGTGTTAGTCTTAGGGATAGCGTTTGTGTTGGAATAGCACTAGTGATAGGCGTGTTCGTGTGAGGGTTAGGGTTAGCGATTGTGTTGGCGTTAGTACTATATAGTGTTAGGAGTGTTAAGTGTTAGTGTTAAGGGTTAGGGCGGGGTAAACTAGGACAAGACGCTCTTGTGGGAGGTTAGTGGTGACTGCAGTTCCTCAGCCCTACAACACCCAAACCAGAACATGGAATCTAACACGAAAATGCTTTTGGTCAAGCTCAAGCTTAGGCTCACGCACGCTCGTCCTTCGTCCACAGACATCGTGTTTCGGGCCTACTCAACATGCACGGTGCTACTGACGGTTGCGTTTGCATCTTTTTAGCTGGCTGGGCACTGCCGTCCGTGCTAGCAGACCACCACATTCGAGGGAGGGCGGCCTGATCCCTTACCGAGCCAGTCCCGAAGCAAGAAAATATTTTGAACCCCTGCGAGAGACTGACGTCTTGTCATTGGTCAGCCGGTTAGCGCGGTCGAGTCGAATATAAGAAACACACACGCACTGACCGTCTTGCTGAGCATCCACTCGATGGTGGCGAACAGGTCGGGGGAATAGCGAGAAGGGATCGGCGCCACCTTGCTGGTGTTGATTTTCATCGCCAGGGCCAGCTGGTTGTGCGCATCAAAAGGGCGCCTGCCAAAAAAAAAGAAAAAATGAAGACAAACGATGCAGTAACAGGCACACGAGGGAAGGTATGCAACCGCGGGCCAAAAACAGGTCAGCTGGTTGGTTGTATGAGCATCAAAAGGGCGCCTGTCATAACAAAAAATAAAGACAAACGATGCAACAACAAGTACACGGGATCGTGCACACCACGGTTCAAAAACAGGTCAGCTGGTTGGTAGTGTGCGCATCAAAAGGGCGCCTGCCATAAAAAAAACAAAACAGACGAACAACACAACAAGCACACGAGAAGACACACATAACACCACGGTTCGGCACGCATACCATCCTGAAGAATCGTCGACTAAGGGCTGCAGCCACAGGAAAAAAAAACGCGGCCCCATACACATGGTTCGACGAGTCGCGCCGCGTCAGGCCGGGTGTGGGTGGAGCTACTACGGCTGCATGCATGTGTGCACGTGCCCCGGAAAAGAAAGGTTTAGCCAACCTCCGGCTTGTGCCAACACAAACAAACAAGTATTGGATTTGGAAACACATCGCGTCGAGGGATCTCCGTAGATGTATCGGGCTCTTTCCGCACCCACTTGGTTGTGGAGCGATCGAGCTTTGGAAGTCGGCCCGGGGGGGGGTGTCATCTTTCCGACTCTTACGGAATACCACGGTACGGTATACGGTACGGTCCAGACAATCTTGGTCGTGGAGCGATCGAGCTTTGAAAGTCGGTCCAGGGGGAGGTGCCATCTCTCCCTCCGCCTCTTTCGGTATATTCTTGCACTACGGTACGGTACGGTACGCGTTCCATGACGACGGCGTGGAACCAATAGACTTGGAAACTGCCGTGGCCAACAACAACCCTCACTCGCGCAAGAAAAGAAAAGTGCGCTTGAAGCGAGGATAGGGAGGGTGTCCCGGCGGTAAAACAAGCCTTGGAGGCGAAAATCACACCGCAGCTCGGTCACGCTACATATATGGCATAGAAGCCTCCTACTCACCCAAGCAGCCCAGCTTCCGTCGATCCCACCCCCATCAAAACACCCGCTACAAGTCCTCGAATGCTAAATGGTGGCAGGAAACACCGTCCGACGACCACGGAGTCTAGTACACAAGAGTACTACCTTTACAAGGTGTGCCTCCGGAGTGGGCTCAGCAGAGCATGTAATACTTGTAGGGTCATCAATGCGTCATGCAACATGGAAGTAGAGCATGTGCTGGTGTAAATCAACTTCCAGCTGCCATCGGCGACGTTTCCCACGCACGAAACAAAGCTGACGTGATGTTTTCGACTCGAAGAGCCCAGCGAACATCAACGAACCACTACCAAAAAAAAAAAAATCTGAATACAGCAGCCTTACTACTCACGTGAGTGCCGCTGCCTCGTACATCAAGCAGCCGAGAGACCAGACATCGGTGCGCTCGTCGTAGCGCTGCTCGTTGATCAGCTCGGGGGACATGTAGTACGGCGTGCCCACGCTGGTCTCCGCTAGCTGCGCGCCGCTCAGCTCCTTCGCCAGCCCGAAATCTCCCAACTTGCGTGTTTTCGTAGGAAAATAATAGAAAAATGAAGAGGATACGGAGCAGGTAAAAACAGGCGTAATTCTTGACGTGTGCTTGACGCCTGTTGGCAAGTGATGCTTGTTGTTTGGGGGGAAAAAGTGTATTGTGCGAAGAAACGTGGTAGAAACATAGGCATGTAGGTCACGAAACACGATGAACTCATCGCCATTCTTTCAGCAAAAAAAAAATATACGGACAGACAAAGGAGCTTGTCGATGCTCGACGCATGGGGCAACACGCCTCGGGCAATGGGAGGAACAAGCGGGGAGGCCTCCCCTACCGTCTGTCGCCCCCCTCGTCAAAAGAAAGTAGTCCGCAGAGCGGAACAACGTAGGGGCGCCCACAAAGGGCGGTTCAACTCTCTTCCGCGAGCCCTCACCTCACCCTCAACCTCCCTACGAAAATTTCCCCAAACACGACCCGAAAAATAGAGCGGTGGACAAATATGTCGTCGTCTAGTCTAACCCAAAAAAGTGGCGTGTTAAAGCCGCCAACGCTGCCAGACGTGTTTACCTTGACAACGCTAAAGCCGCCAACGCTGCCAGACGTGTTTACCTTGACAACGTTGTCGCTGGTGAGGAAGACGTTGTCGGGCTTGAGGTCGCGGTGGATGATCGGCCTCCTCGACCCTTCCTTCCCCATTCGGCCGTGGCAAAACTCGAGAGCCACCACCACCTGGCACATGAGGTTCCACAGGAACGACTCGTCCAAGTACTCCCTGCATTCCGGGCAAAAACGACAGGAAACGGGGGGGGGGGGGGTTGTGCTAATGTAAACGCATGCCGTAGCCGTTAGGTCATTGACGTCGCATCCCTAAGGAGCAAGCCGGGTTTTCACCGGACCAGGCTATCACATCACCAAGCGCGAAGGGCCGTGAGGTTGTCGGCGAGGGTGCGTGGCATCCTTTTAAGAGTGTTCGGCATCTTCTGGCTACTTCCTTGCATGCGGCAGGAGGGGGGGGGTATCCCTGAATGCAATATCAGACATAACACCGCGACACCACCAGCGTGACACGAGGGAACTGTATCCTCGACAGACGTTCCGGAGATGAATGCACAACCCATTCCAAAGTCCACCGACGCGCAGTTGGTAGATCGAATATCGAATTACAGAGTTGATCACGTGACAGGAGGTGACATACGATAAACCAACACCGTACTTTGTAAGTGATCGAAAACGGAGCAGAGAACACAACATGACTCTTGTTTTGTTCGTCGATAATGTTTTGTTTTCTATGGCTCCAGAAAAGAAAAGGAATCTCACCCCCTGAGCCTCCTCGTCTTGATGACCCTGGCTAGATCGGTGCTGCAGTGCTCCATGACGATGTGCAACCGAGTCCTCCTCCGATCCACGATGCGGTCGTAGTAGCGCACGATGAACGGGTGCCGCAGCTCGCGCAAAATATTCACCTGTGGTTATTATCATCGATAAACGTAAGAATGATAAGAGGCATGCTCACCTATTGTTACTTCAATCGACGTTAGTGTGATAAGAAGGAACCGTCTGCCATACAGCGTATCCTCTTCTGCCTGTTCCGTATAACAATGTTTTTCTTCGCCCTCTCCACGACGCGGGGACGGTTCTCTCTTCTACCCCGTTGAAAAGACGAGAGTCTCACTTCCCTTGCAAGGAAAAATGTTGTTGTGTTGACATAAAAAACCGCTCTCTGCTCAGCACCTTCTCGTGCCGGTCCAACTGAACACGGCCGCCTTCCTCCATGGTCACAGGCCGTGAGACGAAGAATGGAAGAATGGTGCAACAAGGGGGATACTTACCAGATACAACACAGCAGTCTACTGTAGAGAGCAAGTGGAAGGGATGGTGGACTTGCGTGCGTACCCGCAGATAAAAAATGTCAATGTCGGGTCGAGGCTCAAGTTCCGTCGAGTACAGGCTATGGAATTGGGTTTTTGGTGAAGGGCCCTCGGCCGAGCTTTTGTATGGACAACGCGTGTATCTCTTCGTGAAACTTTGAGCTTCCGTTTCTCAACGAAACATTCAAACACTTCTATGTTGCCCAGCCCGCTCTGTACTTGTACATGCATACGTGCATACGCACATCAGAATATGCAGCACTCTGGGCTCTGGGCAGCATGGAAAAGGTACAACGGTTGATCCGGCAGAGCATGAAGGCAGGTGGTTGAGGGTTTTCGGGCGACCCAACACGAGGCCCCCAACCTGACGACCCAAACACAGAGTACTAACCATCGGTTGTACGCAAGTACGTAGACTATATACTCCTGTGTATCTGGTAACGCATGTATTCAGGACATGGGTGTTGCTACCAAGGGGCAATACCGTCAGCACGCCAACGCTCAATTTGCTGTACTGCTGAACCCACCGTGTAAACCAGTGCGTTGATTAAGCGGCTAAGAGACGGCAGTTGGATTTGAGATTCATTTCATGGGTCTGCTGCCCACTTGGGGAGGGAACACCAAAGTTGGTTGTACAGAACATTTCCAGTTGAAAACAGCTGCCGGGATGAAGGAAAGATGAAGGGAGCGAGAAAGAGAGATTTAGGCGGGGAAACAGAGAGAGAGCAGCAGTGTCCCTTGTGCCTCGTGCCGGCTCGGTTGTACAAAACAACGCAAAAGGCAGAGAGCTGTGTCGGCCTGGCTCTCTCGCTGAAAAACCACGACCTATGATATCTACGAAAGAGAGGTTGGACATTATTTTTTGAAATGAAGAACGCAGACGACTAGAACATTTGTAGCTTGTAGCCGTGTGTCTTTCCGCTTGCTCAATCGACGAACTCACCTCGGCCACGATCTGCTCTTTCTGCTTCTCGTCCGCCGCGCCGTAGTCCATCTCCTTGACCACCAGCGTCTTGCCGTCGGCCTTCCGCCGTACCTTTCTCACCACCCCGAAGCTGCCCCTGCCAAGCGTCTGCAACACATCGAACTGCTGCTCCATCTTCCTTCCCTCAGCACGAACAGGCCAACGTTTTCGACGACCTCCTGCTGCTAGGGTGTCACCCTGCGCCGTTGTGTCGCTATCGTAAAGTTCCCGACCCGTCCTCGCTGCTGCCGCGGCCCTGCTACTGCAGCTGATGAAGCGAGGCGATGATGATGGTTGCCGTTAGTGTTTGCGCACGTTTCAAGAAACGCTGAAGTTGGCAGTTGACTCATTTATCGTGGTCCATAGACATGCATACACCAACGCCGACGGAGTCGACACACACCTGCTGCAGCTTCGCCTGTCGTTCGATAGGACACCTTGAGGTTCTGCGCCTGGTTGTAGCAGGTATCGCAGGCCTACTACTGCTGTAGGCACGCTAACTGAACAACAAGCGAACAAGCTTCGTCGCTCAAGTCGCGCGCGGGGGATACGCAGATGGAGAAATTTGAAATTTTCAAATTTTTGGGGGAGTTCATCGCTCTTCTGGAGGCGATATTTTTTAACAACAACCAACCAATCAGAGCGTAGCAGCACGAGGAGCAGGCCGGCATGAGCGTCACACTGTTGTGAACCAGCTAGCGTGAAGCCCCACACCCTTGTCTCTGATTCGGCCACTCACGACGACAGCACGCAGATATCATGGCAATGCACTACAGAGTACTCGTAACAATGTGGTGGGTGTATCCATTCGCCTTTGGTGAGATGCTTGCTACACAATCTCCTGCACCAGACAGATATGGGAAGGAAGGTCATTCGTGCCGAATCGGGTGCCTTCTAAACTCTGGCACCCTCTGTTTATCGCCATACTTGTGTACGCTGCTGTACAATCGTCACTCCGGCCCTACAACTTGCCCGGTGTCTGAGGCGTGTGGTGTGCTTCGCCTTGGGCATATCGCGTGCTCTAAGTGGAGTTCTCGCATGCATGAGACGAGCACAGCCAATCAATGAACCGGGCGGGGGGTGTTTATCCTGTGAGAGAGTTACCCTGGCGAGCAACCTGTGATCAATCACGGGATAGAGTAGCTCTGAAGCGATTGTTGACGCCACCGAGGGGAAAGATCAAGGACGCCCAGGCCGAAATCCGGGCTGTCGAGGATGTTACTACTACATGTAGAGAATCGATACTAATGTAGAGAAACTGGTGCTTTTGAGATCCGCAACTCCGTCACAACAACAGCTTCATCATTCAGAAAAACAACCGCCAAATAGAACCAACAGCTTTGCGAGATAGAGGGAGGGAGGGGCAGGTGCTCGAGAGGCTCGTGTTGACGTACTTCAAATGAAATTATTAGTGTCAGACGGTCAGCACGATATTTTCGATCGCTTCTTACAACGGTCAGACAACTTGATCTACGAAGGGTCTGTTACGGTCCTTGCATCGGCCGTCCAGTCGCTCCGCTCTGAAGTTCTTCACGATTTTCTTCCCTCTCACTATGGTCCCATTCTTTTCTGTAGTTCAAGTAGATTCCTCGATCTTCTTGCTGACATGAACAGCCGCAATTCTAACGAGACACTCCATCTCTCGAATATACGATGCAATCTCCCGTTCCAGCCAGTTGTTTGCTCTGTGGTACACTGCCAACCTTGATCTGCGGTCTGTACTTTTTGTAGTGAGGAACAAGAAAGAAGAGCGATCCAGATCGCGCCAGCCATCAGCCTAAAAAAAATCAACATATTTTGCAGCAGATCACATTTTGGTTGACCGTTTCCTGTCGAGACTCTTCCATGCTCGCCACGGCACCACAAGGCCCTTGCGGGTCAACAAGCTTCCCCTTTGCTTTGTCTACAGCTCTGCGTGCGTCCTGCCAGAAACGATTTGCTTCCCCGATACAAAAAAAATGGCGGGGGAAGCAGAAAATGAACAACTTGAGGTCCGCCTCACTCATGCGATTGCAGTACGCTCGAATTCGAAATCCTAAACACTCGTGAACGTACAAACCTACAGCACGCCCGGCAAGAGGCCCAGTCCGAGACAGGCAAACATCCGACCCTTCGAAATAATACAGCTACATATCAGCAATGGGATGGGAGTATGAGACACAGTAATAGAACGATCAGGGCAAACAAGGCAAAGAAAAAAAGATACAGGACATAGCACAAAACGATTGTTCGTCGCTCCCTACTTATAGCTATTAGCCACTACGGGCCGATGCGGGCCATGTCGATACGCACTTGGCAAGAGACGACCCTGATACACGTTGAGCGCGAAGCGCAAGTCTTCCAACAACGGCAGCCATGCAGAGATGATCCACTGACAGCTTCCGGCCATGCCTAGTCTACACCACGTACTGTAGTACCAAGCATCCGGCGTCATATGCATACAACCCGGTAGTCTTAAGAACACTACAAAGTATTCCCCACCCCAACTTTGAGAAAGATACATGAGTGCACGATATTCGCAAGTGACACATTTCTTCTTGCTTTCAGCAAACGTACTTGTAGCAAATGGGCCCTCGAACATCTCGCGGAGGAGAGTAAATCGCTTTAAAAAACTAATGATCGATGGCGCGAAGCATGGCCACCGTTGTGATACGTGTGGTCACCAAAGGTCGTCACCCAGCATACCGACGTCCAATCCAACCATCCTACCACGACCACTTTTCCTTTTACCCCGAGGCTTCCATGTACACGACACACATATAAAGTTGCCCACACACAAGAAATAATTCACCTGGACAAAGCTACCATCACGTTTGCGAACAAAAGTTAAGCAAGTCTCAAGCAGCAAAAACGGAGTGGGGCCTACGACCCCACACGGAGAGAATCGGCGAAAGAAAATTCACCGCATGCGACGAGCTAACCGTTGCGAAGTACGCCGCCAATGACGCAATATGCTACCGGTTACGTAGAGTGGTGCCGCCCCCCGACAACAGACCAACGTTGCCGTCGTACGCAGAGTACCACGCGTCGCCGACTCTTGTCCCAAGGGATACAGGGGGCGTTTCGTCGTGGCACCCCGCTAGACCACAGCCATACATACGAAATATACCTACCTCCACGCGCTGAAAAGACTTCCGCACATCCCTTTCGACTACTGCTGTGGTTACATCTCGAACCGGTAGTCTTTTCGTGAGATTATGTTTACTTTCAAAAAACAATACCTGCCATTGTAGTATAGTGCACGCGACAAGCCATTTTCTGAGGATGGGTGCGCTGGGTAGGAGGCGCGTGAGCAAAAGCAAGACAACTGCTTTGAGGTCGCCAAGACAACGACGATGACAACGCCGACGACGAAGCGACAAAACTACCCGTACCACCTACTCTTGAAGTCAAGAGTACGACCACGTACTTTGAAGTTCAGAGAGCGACGATGACATCAACGCAGCAATAGCTGCTTCGCTCACGCTGGCGGTGTTTCTAGAGGGGGGAAGCGCTCGGGCTTGAGAGGCACGGCCCACTCCGGCAAGGGCGGCAGGGCCTCCATCTTCCACAGCGCCAAGCAAACTCCGACGACAACGACGAGGACCATCACACACGCCCCCAGCAGCACCGGCACGTCGCCTTCTTCCTTCTCGTCGTCGCCGCCTTCCTCATCTTCTTGCGTCGTCAGGCTGTCCCCATCGACGTCGTCGATCTCGGCACCTCTAAACGACTGCTTTGTTCGGGAAGAATGTGTACAACGTGCACGAAAACAACAACAACAGAAATCGTTTTTTTTTTCGAGAAATACAACATGCACGAAAACAACACCGGAAGCCTTCAGGCAGAAGTCAACGAAACAATTCGCAAGGTCTTATGAGCAGAACCAACCATTTCTTCTGGCCGACGGCAGTTCGGGTGGTTTAGAAGGCAGAGAGGGCTGAAGCACACCGAGTGAACAAATGCGTCTAGTTTACGGCGGAAGAATCGGATGGGGCGAGAAGCTTAGTCCGCCAGACAATAGCCGAGTCGCAGCAGAACCGACGATGCCGGTGGGCCCTAACAACAGCAAGCCAGTGGGCACCGCTTCCTGCAGCGTTGCAGACTGTTAATAACGCAAAACGTGAAGAAGACCAACATCAGAGCGCAAGAAAGCGACGCCAACATATCTCATGCCACTCGAAAAGCACCGTCACGAACAACCGACAAGCAAAGAACGGCTCATCTCCAGGTCCGTTTCAGTAAAAATCTCTGCCTTGCCTGTTGCAGAACAAGGTACGACAAGCAATCGGAAGCTCATTCACAAAGCACACAGCAGTGTTTGATGATACCCGTCACGGGAATACACCAAACAAGAAAGACATCGAGCTTCGGGGTGAAGATAGGTCTTTCTCTTCCTGCGTGTCCTCCAAGTCGCTCAATCGAGCGAACACGGTAGGGGGAGGAGGGGGGGAATCCCTCCCGTAGTGTGCCGTACTACCGACGGCAGTTCTTACATAAGGAAGGTGGAGTCTCTACACTACCACAAAAAGCGATAATTAGCAACTGGTGCTGGCGGATGAGAAGTCGGTTCTTTTCCCACCTCTGAATCCGCTTGCATGCTTGCGCCTCTTCTCCGACCGAACAACCCCGAGCTCCGGTGTGCACGATGTCGCACACCCACCCCTCCCATCGTAGCTCTCCTCCTGGCAAGGGTGTTTGTTCCCAACAGAGAGCGGGAATCACAATTTTCACTTGATTAAAGTATCGAAATTTCGGACAAGATTTCTTCATTGCTTTTTTCGGGATTGTGCTGGCTGCAACCCCAATTTGCAATTGGGGAAAGTGGCTGTGTGAACAATATTGTTCTCTTTGTGAACAGCCTTGTTTTTCAGCATCTTCTTTGTGTTCCCTATTTTGTAGGCGTGTCAACAATGTTGTTAATTCATTTTCTCCCCCGAGTTCTCTATGCGAACATTGGTCTTCTTTTACATTCTTTGTCGCTGTCGCTGTCGCTGTCGTCGTTGTTGCCAATGAAACCATGTTCACGGTTCTTGTTCTTCTTTACAACCAGCGACACCGTGCTTATGATCCCGTCCTCCCGCCTCTAAGAAAGCCTTCAAGACACGTACGAAACACCTCGAAAAGCTGTTACGCAAGCCAGCCATAGTAAAATGATCCCGTCCTCCCGCCTCTAAGAAAGCCTTCAAGACACATACGAAACACCTCGAAAAGCTATTACGCAAGCCACCCATAGTAAAATGATCCTGTGCTCCCCGTCAGCCCCACTAGGCGGTGGTCCGCCGCCCGACCCATCCCATCCCATCACAGACTGCATGCAACCGTTGTTCTCCGACCCATCCATCCTACCTACAATTGTTGCTCCCTACGGTCGTTGTGCGTGTTGGCACTCATGGTAGCCGTTGCTCTCTACGGTTGTACAAGTAGTGCCTGTTTGACAGCAGTCACGGCACCTATCATACCTTCTGCTGCCGGCGTTCGAAGATGCGAAGTCGTTCACCACCCTGGCGGCGGCATCGAGCTTGTAGATACGCCGCACCCCTCCCGCCCGGGTGACGCACTGCTTGATGTCCTGCGGCAACACCGACCCACACCGTCAGGTTAAAACAGATGTAGATACCCAACCAGAGGGGGAGAGAGAAATGTTACTGGATGGTGCAAGAGCAACAAAGTGCTGACGATCGCGACAACGAAAAAGTCGCGTCTTTGCCGGGATGAGAGGGGGGAAAGATGCAACGACGCAGAGAGAGAGAGGAATGTTATCGGCGGTGCAAGCAACCAGTGCGGGTAATCGTGACAACATTAAGTCGTGTCTTCGACAGAAGAGCAAGCAGTAGCTAGAACGTCCCAAGTTACGTTCCATAGAACAAAAACAGTTGCAAAGAGCAACCACCAACACGCTCGGGCTATCGGTAGAATGCAAGAGCGTGCGCTGGCTCTATCTCTCTCACTCTTTCCACGATGTCGTCGAGGGTGGTCAACAGCCGACGGTTTCGCCTGGGAAGGCCGCGGAAGTCTATCCGTTCGAGATCATGCCGGTACTCCTGTCGAAAAAAAAAATCCAACACCAGAAGGGGAAACGTAAGTGTGTCAAACGAACGCAAGAGGTTCTGCTGCTCATGCGTTCTTCATGCAGCATGGGTAGTCTATCTACCCTACCTAGTTTCGTGAACGCTGCCGAAGGAGAGAGAAACGGACAGGCACAAAGTCAAGTCGGCGTCTTGTTTTGCAACAACAACAACAGCAGTGAAAACGTGAAAACAGTGTTATGTTATCTGCGGAATGAACGTACTGAAGGAGAGCAACACAGACATGCACTAAACAAGTCGGCGATTTTATTGGGCGACAATAACAGAAACAGAAACAACAACAGAGGATGAGGAAGCATATCTCGACGTCAGGCATGTTGGCGCTTATCGCACAACAACAATAAAAGGAACATATGCATAACATCAACAACATCAACAATAACGACAGAAAGAAGGCTGTAGCATACCTCGAGGTCGGGCATGTCCGCCTCGTTAACGCCTCCTTGTGTCTTGACCTCCTCGAACACCTCCTCCAGCGACGCCAGGATGCGGTCCTGCACAGTATAGATACACAACAGGAGACCCAAGAGCCCTATGGAGGCAATCGAAGGCATGAGGCTACATCAAAGCCAGCCGTCTCATGAAACCAGACCAAATGCGTGGGGGTAATCGACGAAATCGACAAACCAAAGCCAGAAACCACACGGAAGTTTTCGATCTGAGCTAATATACGCCGAAAACCCGAAAACACTTGGTATTCCCCAAAAAAAACGCCGCCGAACATACTGGTACCGCCTCAACCCCCAACCTGAGCCGCCTCCGCCCCCCACAGCCTCGGCATCCGGGCCCGGATGGCGTAGATGATCTGCAGGTGTATTTTGACCAGCTTGGCTCGTTGCATGAGATCGTTGATCTGAGGGGGGAACAGCAAGAGAAGGAGGTGTAGCACATTAGGGAGAGAGATCAACGCCGCAGATAGACAGACAGGCAGACACGCAGACAGGCAGACAGGCAGACAGCAAGGGGCAAAAAAAGGGACAGACCGACAACTACAGGATGTCTTTTTCTGCACCATTTCCGCTCTTCTTCTGAATTTCTGAACAAGAGAGGAAAACACAACTTGTGCCTTCTTTTTCTTTCTTTGAAGAATACCTTTCTGACCCCGACGTTCTTGGGCAGATCCAGCATCTCCGTGCGTAGGGCCGCCTCGTCCACCTTGAACGAAGCGTCTCCTTCCTCATGGCTGGGAAGAAGTCAACATTAACACCGGACGATGGATCGCATCGGGTCAGGTCACGTCGACGCTGCAAGCTGTCGGAGAACCGCAAATCGGACATGTAGAGCAGGAAATTCTCGCCGAACATCACTCATTCGCAGCGTCAGCAAGGTCGGAGATAGCGTCAAGGGAGACCTCTAGTGATCATTGAAGGATGGAACGGGCTAACCACAAACTGCACCGTGGACTACTTGCCGGTGTTTCCGGCCTGGCGGACGGCACAGAGATGGTGAGATACGGTGTTTTCGGTTTTGGGGTGCCATGAAAAGACCGTTCTCGAGACTGATCTTGAAGGCCGGCTACGGAGGTGAAGTACGCCACCCGAAGAGCTCAAGCCGCACACGCGCCACGGAGCGACAAGGACTATCGCGCCTCCCGTTGGGAGGATTCTGTCAGAATCGCTGCAACACTGCTGACACCAACAACGACAGTAGCAACGACAGCAACAACAACAACAACAACAACAACAACAACAACAACAACAACAACAACACCAACAAGTCGATGAGCACCTGGTGTCAGGACCCCGCCGCGGGTCGTCCCAAAACGACCCCACGTACACCTTGGGAGCGGCGGCCTTGCCGCCGAGGCATCGCCCTATGGACCACATGAGAGCCCCGTAGACCTTGAGAAGCCGGTCGTCATCCACCTCTTGGGCCTTGTTTAACACCACCCGCACCTGAAAGAGAAGTTGGGGGTGTTGCTGTTGTTTCCATTCGTATTGGTGATATGGTTGTTGCTTTAGTGGTGTTGGTGGTAGTGGCGGTGGAAGTGTTGTTGTTGTTGTTGTTGTTGTTGTCGGTATTGCTGTAGTTTCTATTCATATGGGTGATATTGCTGTTTTTTGGTGCTGTTGTTGTTTAGGGTGGTGGTGGTGTTAGTGGTAGTGTTGTTGTTGATGATGATGTTTCCTTTGATATGATCAACAAATCGTACCCGTACCGCGGTGGGCCATTGGATAATGAAAGCTCGTGTTAGCACCAATCGGTGCCCACTTCTTCATATAGCTCCGGCCGCAAGACCACCGCCGCACACACCTCTCAACCCGAAGCGATCCTAGTCCACAAAACAACCCGCCAACGTGCTATTAACAACCCGCCAACGTGCTATTAACAACCCGGCACGCCTCTTTTGTTGGGTGAAATATTTACGGACTGTGCTCAGCTTCATGCTACCAGCCAACAGTAGTATCAACATCTAAAAGCATCAACAAACCAAGGTTATCGCTAGCGACAGGCAGCGGACACTCACCCTGTCCCCGTGTTGAGCAATGGCGCTCATCACCTCCCGGAATTCCTCCCCCATGTCCAGTTTGTGGGAGTCGAAGACCAGGAATATGAGGTCGGACCGATCCGCGAACCACTTCACCACCTGTTCCGTACCGCGCGTGAGAGTCGAACCGGGACGGTAATATAAATTTAGAGAGGAACTCGCCGTTTCACTCGCAACGCAGGACACGTCTAGTGTTGGGGGGGGGGAGGGGGGGGGGGGGGGGGGGCGCGGCAATCCCTCTTGAGTCTCACCTCACTTTCGATACATACAAGCGCGGTTCATTTCCGTGTTGTGCTTCACGCTCTGCTTTCTGGCTATTTTTCTACATAACTTAATGTTGGTTTGGGATCAAATCTTCGACCCACTCTCTTCCTCTCGACATCACCGACTCTGGCTCTGTTTGTCTGTCGGTCTGTCTCTGCCTCTGTCTCACAGTGTGAATTGTCTCTGTCGCCATCTGTCTCGTCACTGTATCTCTCCGTGTCTTCGGGTCGACGCATGCCTATATCTTCCTGACTGTCTGTCTGAAACCATCACTCTCTGTCTCCCTCTCTCTCTCTGTCTATTGTTTGCGTCTTCACACACTCTCTCCAAAAAGATGACACTGAGCCGACTATGGG